CATACCATACCATACCATACCATACCATACCATACCATACCATACCATACCATACCACACCACACCATACCATACCACACCATGCCGTAAGTCATCCTAGCCGAGCATGTACATCTATGAACCAGAAAAAAAGCAGGCCTTCAAAACATAGATTCGGGTAGGGATGATTTAGAAGAACCTTTACCCTGCTCAACACCACATGGGTCCCCAGAATCCAGCACATCCTCTCAGGCAGAACATCCGCCAACCAAATACAGCGCTGACGTCATGGCAGATCGATAGTTCCTGCTAATCTGTACGCTGGTAGCGAAAACCGACCACTAAAATTCAATATGCTATCGAACGTCGGCCCTTTTTCACCCGAAGCCGTTCGGGCACTGCCTTCAGCTAGATCGGTGTTGGAACTCTTCTCTCCTGCCCTCCCCCTCTTTTCTCTCTTGCCTGTGGTTCCATGCCGCTCTGGTATTGATTTACTCTGCTCTGCTGCCTTAGTTCAGAATCGTAGAGGAGCAGGCAGGCAGGCAGGCAGGCAGGCCAGCAATATGGCCGAAGACACTTAGGTTTCTCGTGTTCTGAGCTATATCTTTCTGTAACGCCTGTATCCAATCCAATGACCCACGCTGGCTTCTTTTGGTGTCCCCTTCAAGAAGGAAACCTTACCCAACAGAGACGGGAGGATGAGACAAGACGATAGTTCTGTGTTCACTGTGTTGTGATTCTAGGTTAACGTGAGTGAATTCCCTATCTCGTCGCTGCAACGTGGAAGGAATTGAGCAACAACCCCCTGTCTTCGAACTATTGGGGATAAAAGAAATCGTAAGTATACGATGTCGAAGAAGCAGGCAGGCTTGTTTCGCTTATAGAACAACAGCAACAACAGCAGCAGCAACAACAAAAACGAAAAGAATAAGATGAAGTTATGGTTGAAGCTTAGATCTGCGTTGGTCTAAGAAGAATATATAAAATGGAAAGGTGGGCGTAACGTGTTTTCTGCTGGAGCAATTCAATGTTTGGGAACAGAATTTAGTTGTGGATTAAGGAGGATTTTGCTACAGGTTCGCATCATCATCATCATCATCATCATCATCATCATCATCATCATCATCATCATCATCATCATCATCATCATCATCATCATCATCATCATCATCAGTGATGACGACAACACGACAATAACAGCAGCACCAGTAGCAGCGAGAACCACCATCACCTCCTCTTCCACAATAACACCACCACCACAACCACCGCCACCTACAAGAACAACAACAACAAAAACAAAAACAACAACGTCAACAGCAACAACAACAATTACAACAGGTTATTATAACAATCATAAACCAATAAAAATACAGGGCCTGAAATAGACAAAAGGTTTCGTTCGTACGACGTCTAGATCTATATCCGTAACAGTAACTGTCCCTAAGAGAAAAATGAAAACAAAAGCGAACTAAAAACGAAAACAACCATCACTACTCACTCCATCGACAAGGCAGCGAAAGACAAAACACTGTAGACATTTTTATTTGGTCTGAAACAGACCGTTAGAAATAGTAATAATATGAAAAACAAATTTTGATTTCTTGTTTGTTTGTGTTTACAGTATTTGTTTTTTCTAGCATGTTTTTCGTATATTATTGCGTGTGATTCTTTGCACATAATGTGTGCTCGAAAGTAGACAAGCTTTTTGTTTTAATTTGCAAATGTACGTGTTACGAGGATTATATGGCTTAGTTATAACCTGTAGGGTTACGATTCCTGGTGATTTTCTTTGACGTTACTTTGCACTCGCTCTTTTTATCTGAACGAGTGTGCAAGTGCTCGTGAATTAGTGTGTGTTGGGGGGGGGGACTACACTATGACCGCACTTCACGGCCCCACAAAGGAACGATGACTGGGCCCATGATGCACACATATCATGGAGAACGTCTGTGGATACTCTTGTCACGGGAGGCAATACGTTTCCTATCCCGGGCAGGAGGCTGCTGAAGGGCATAGGAGTATCCACTCAACAAAGGGAATGGCGCAAGAGAGATAGGGAGGGTCTACAAACACGAGAGTATTGTTGTTTGTATTTGCTGTCCTAGATTTTTTTTTTCAAAATCAGTACTTGTGTTGTTGTTTTGTGTGTTTTTATAGCTTAATTTTTTTTGTGGGTGGGGGGAGGGGTGGTGCAACAGATAGATCTAGACCGGCAGCCAAAGAAAGACAATAAGTGAGACCAGTAAACGAAAGCATACAGTTTGGGCTAACAAACAGATTGAGAAGGTAGGTGAGTACGAAACCACACATAATTATATATTTGAGGGAGGACAGACAGACAGTGACAGACAGACAGACAGTGACAGACAGACAGACAGACAGACAGACAGACAGACAGACAGACAGACAGACAGAC